TTGGTAATCTCGGGTATTTTTTCGCTCAAGCAATGTGTAATTTCGCTAGAGCGAGAACTGATTGAAATATGTGGTGACCCAAGTTGCATTATGTGACTAACTGCGTTGGAGCTTTAGCCTGTAGTCAACTCTCGCTCAAGTGAGAAATCCATTGCTTGAGCGAGGAAACCTAAAACATTTTTTACATAATTAATAATTTTTAAAAAAATATTTCCCAAAATAGCATCTCCCAATATAATTTCTAACGCACACAAGTCAGAAACCCAATGCTAAGTCATCCACCCAAGTCAGGATTCTCATGCCTTTCTGATGCACACAAGTCAAGATTCCAATCTTGAATTCCCTGCATTGGGTTAGATAAAAGCAGAATAATCCAAGCACATTTAAAGAGATGCTGACCCACCTACTTTGCTTGGGTTTTATGTGAGTCATAAGCCATGTGAGGGAGTCTTGGATTCAAACCATTGGACTTCATTATAAATAGACCACTTTCATTCTTTGAAGTTCTCACATTGCACACTCATAAATATCTGAAGCTCTTTGCATTCTTTCTTCTTCTTACCTTTAATCTTCTTTTTGTTCCACACTCCTAAAATGGGTGTAATGTCTACTATTGTCCACTATGATGGTTCCATGAACTCATGTCCCATGGAGGGAGTTGCATTCAATATTGGGACTGCAAAACTTGTTCCTTTAAAGAGAGGAATTTCTCTACAAAGGTTGAATAAGTTGATCCATAGGAAATTAGAGAAAGAACCTCACGAAAATGTAGTAACCATCCATTTTCGCTGCCCAACTAGACTCAGAGTTGGGATCAACAACTTCATTGCTGTCGAGTTGAAAGATGATGACGACGTGGATGCCATGTTCGATGTTTATGATTCAAACTCAAGTCTATGTGATATTGAAATTTTTGTTACATTTAAAACTTCTTCTTCTTCATACCTTAACACACACTCATCTGAAATCTCACCCTCTTCCTACCAAGTTTTTCCAAACACTGACCCAGAAATACCCACACATAATGACTACATCTCTTTTACCCAACTTCTAATTGGACCTTCCACCGACATCAACGAAGAACTACCCACACAAGAGAACAAAATTGTTGGCCTCCCAATTGAAGTCGTTCATCCTTTTAGTGAGGACGAAGACGAAGATGAAATTCTCAGCCAACACCAAGATGATTCAGAGGACGAACAACCACATATCCCTACACATGCACCAAACTTCATGGAACCATACAACCCACCACAATATTTTCTTAACTTTGAGATTCATATTCAACAACAAGACCCAGAGTATGACCATGCGTTGGACAGAGAATCTTTTGTTTCTCCGGTAGGAACTCTATTTCTTGGACAATGTTTCATAACAAAAGAACAATTTTAAGATGCCATCAACCGCTTTCACATTGTTAATCACTGCACATACAAGGTGAAAATTTCAAACCAAAGTAGATATGTTGTTGAATGTGTTGATAACCAATGCAATTGGAGATGTCGAGCAATATTGTGCACAAGAGAGCAATATTGGGAGATTATGAAGCTTGAAGGGCACCATACATGTGATTCGCCATTAATCAACCAAGACCACAACAAGTTGGGATATAAAATGATTTCCCAAACAATTGGTCAAATAATTGATGTTGATTCGTCAACACCAAACCTTTGACAGATCTACCACACAATTTGTAGTAGAAGAAACACAAAACCCGCGTGAAGTTCGCCTTGATGAGTTGTGGTGTGACTGTGGGAAATTCCAGAAATTTCACATGCCTTGTTCACATGTTCTTGCTGCATGCAAGCATGCACACCATGACTTCAACAACTATATTCATCCAGTGTATACTAAACCCTAAGCAACTACAACAAGTTTCAAAGGTATACGAAACACAATTTGGGTTGTTGCGAAATGAAGAATATTAGCCAACATACATAGGACCTACTTTGTGTGCAAATCCAGAAATGAAAAGAACTTCAAAGGGCCCACCAAAATCAAGCCGTATAAGAACTGAGATGGATATTACAGAAAATCAAAGTAGGATTAAAAAAATATTCATATTGTCATACCTCTGGTGATGTGAACATGACCTATGATAAGGGTTAGAGCAAGGGAAGCAAAAGAAGTTCTTCAACAAGTATTGTTGGTTGACCAAATTGTGTTTTGGATTAATCAATTAATGGACTTTAGTTTAGTTTTATTGCAAGTTGTAATAAGGGTCCAATTGGAAATTTAGTTATCAGCCTTTGGGAGACCAAGATGGTGCATAGCTGATTGACTTTTGGATGCCACAATTTCAGTTACAATCAATCATTAAGTAGTTTTCAATTCTTAGGTTAATAAATCATTATTAACATTTATTTTTTTTAATGAATATTTGAAACTCTGATGGCAAAGCTTCTTTATAAGCTGAACCATTTTTATCAGAAATAACAAGTTGAGTTTTATTTTTAGAAACATTAGAGTTTATCTCTTTTATCTTAGTGAGAGTGATTCTCCTAAGTTCTTGAGTGATTCAAGAACCCTTGGCTGTATCAAAGGACTTTCACATCCTTTGTGTGTTGCCTTCCTTGGAAAGAGTGATTCTTTCCTTCCACCTTCTTTCTAATTCCTAAATTTCTTACAAGGTTCTAACCTTAAAGATCCTAAATTACCTCTTGTAATTCATATCATCTGGTCATAGCAGAAGAACATGCCCCAATATTGCATGTGCATCTACTTTGCATCATTAGATTATGTTAGTTAAGAAATGCTCCAATATATGAAACTTAGGAGTTTTTCAATTAATAAAATTTCTTCTTTACAGAGTGGGGATTACCTACAATGTAGTAACTCATGAGCTCATCTGTTAATAAGGATAACTATATTGGCAACAAATCATAATAGGAATACTGGTTTGTTGCATGAATTACTAATATCCTTCACTTTAGTCCTTTTGCTGTTCAATCTTATTCATGGCTAAATCGAAGATATGCTGACAAGGTTGCAATTTGTAGTCTAGGGAGTGTATAACTTAAAATTATCAAGGACAAATTTTTGAATACGAAAATAATTAGATAAGCCTTTGCAGGTTTTATGAAACAATTATTGTAAAAGGCTTAAGTTGACTAGTGAAGATATAAGATTCGATTATTTTAAAATTATAATCGATTAGTTTAGCTTATAATCGATTATAAATAATTGCAAGTTTCCTTGCTCAAATGATGAATTTCTCGTTTGAGTGAGAGTTGACCACAGGCTAAAGCTCCAACACAGTTAGCCACATAATACAACTTGGGTCACTACATATTTCAATCAGTTCTCGCTCGAGCGAAATTATACATCGCTTGAGCGAAAAAAACACCCAAGATTACCCATTAGTTTCAGGTCTCCTTACTCAAGTGATGGATTTGTCGCTTGAGCGAGAGAAATAATCGATCATAATTTTAAATATTCAAATATTTTAAAATTATGATCAATTAGTTTAAATTATAATCGATTATAAGTTTCTTCACTCAAGCGATGGATTTCTCGCTTGAGCGAGAATTGACCACAGGCGTTAACTTAGCCAATCACTTCTCGCTCGAGTGAAATTATTCATCGCTTGAGCGAGAATTGACCACAGGCTAAAGGTCCAACGCAGTTAGCCACATAATGCAACTTGAATCACCACATATTTCAATCAGTTCTCGCTTGAACGAAATTACCTATCGCTTGAGCGAAAAAACACTCGAGATCACCCATTAGTTTCAGATCTCCTCGCTCAAGCGAAAAGTTATTTGTTTGTTATTTAATTGCTAGAATGACATATAAATTTTCACCTAAGTTTATTTTTTTATTGATTAAATCATGTTAATTTTATAGATATTTAATGATTCATATCCATTGAAAAAGAAGTTATAAAAGATATTGAGAACAATGAACTTCTCATTTCTTAATTATTTTTTATAATTTGTAGATTGTTATAAATTAAAATGATTTAAATTAAATAATATTATACACTTAATCGAGTGGCGAATTTTCTTGGGAGCTGAGGGGTCGTGACCCCTCCAAAGTTTTGTAACTCCCATGTAATTTATGATTTTGACCCTCCCAAACTTAATGAAAATTTAATATATTTACTTGTATATTTACAATTTTATCCTCTCGACCCCTCCTTAGTTTTGTAACTCTCATATAATTTATGATTTTGTCTCTCTCATACTTAATGATTATTTAATATATTTAAGTATATATCTACAATTTTATCCTTTCACCCTTTCATCTTCTTTCTTCTTTTTATATTTATTTATTATTTATTAATAATATATTATTTGACTCCCCCAAGATCAATGATCAAAATTCGTCACTGCACTTAATGTTTCTTTATGTACACCTTTGTATATTACTTATGAACTTAATTTATTCTGAATTTAAGTATATAAATTTGCCTGAAAAATATATACTTATTATCCAAGAGATAAATTTATAAATAACTTTTTATGATCATTTTTATCTTAACTATGATAGAATTAAAACTTTTTATATTGATTCTACCAACAATAATTATGAAAAAGATTGTTTTTTATACAAGTTCTACTAATACCTCTCATAAAAAAAAATCATTTTTATAATAATTTATGGTCGAACTGACATTAAAAAAAAAAAGTATTAACCATATGATTTTTCACAGTTATTATGATGATTATATTATATCGATTCTAGCATCAACTTAAAAGATGTAAATGAACCAACATAAAAAGACTTTTGTCCGCGGAAGTGTTGAAAGTGATATAGATTATGTCAAAAGCACTAACATGTTTCATTTTGGTGCACAATTGTGAAAGCAAGCGATAGCTTGCAACTTATTATACTAAAGTTTGTACAGATTTAAAACAGGACTAGGCCCGATGATTTGCAAATTGATGCCTCATTGAAGCAACGCCTTGCATATATCTGGTTTGTGATCTGGGAAGGGTGAACATCAAAGAAAAGATATGTGTTTCTGTTTGGACATGGAACTGTACTGGAACGGCATCTCATCTCACCATAGATGGTATTGGGGCAGCAAGATTTCCATGTTTCCACGATCCCTGCAAAGAAAAAGTACATAATTATTTGCCAACATAAACTTCTTTATCTTTTATACAAACAAATTTAAGAATCAAACCATGATCAAATATGTTAAGAGATAAAGTTATCTCTCAATCATATCATACCATGTTTATAAGATAAACTAACATATATAAATCTGATTAACCATTTGGTTTTTTTCTTACCATAACTCTTTGCATTTTCTCTCAGGTTCATAAGGAATCCGTAGAGATCTGAATGTATAAAGGTGAAACCAGGAAGCTTGGACTGCAGCTCATGGAGTACTTTGGGCAACCTCGTATTGTAAAAGGTGATTGGCTTGTTTATTTTCTTATCACATTTTCCTTTTGGTCTTGTGCGAACAGAAATTGATGGAAAGCAACCTGCTGGGGCAATGTTGTTTACGAAAAATTTTCTTGCTCCTAGACTGTACATTCTCTACAAGAACACAAAAGATGAAAAAAACATGAAAATATTCCCCAGTTTTTATATTATTGTTGATGATTGTTCTCGATGGCTAAATGCAAACATGAATTCTAGTGTGAATCTTTCCTGAGAGAAAAAACATATGGAACTGGGTGATAGATACGAAGCTGATGTTTCTTTCTTCTTGTTATATATGTTGACATATAATTAATATGTGACTTTTATGATAACATTTATGAGATAGTGTTGATGAAATTTAATTAAGGGGACTGGTCAAATAAATTTCTTAAATAACCTCTACACACGGTATTTAGTAGTAAGACCTAAATGTAACTTATTTAATGATAAAGTGTATTCTGAAGAAAGTATATTGAACAAATATAGTAGGGTTTGCCAGTAGATTTGTTTTGGACAAAAATTAATATGGCATTTTAAGTTCTGATTTTATGTATGCGTTGAGAAGTCAACAATTTTCTGAAAATTGACAGATCCAGAATATTTCAGACTAGGATGCAATAAAATGTAGTGATTAACAAATCCACGAGTCAAGAAGATGGAAAAAATGAATAATCTTTCAACATGCGAAAAACTCTAATTGGACTGCATACAAAATTTTAATCACAGCTCACAAATTTATATAATAAAATTTAGCAGAATTTTACATTGTGGCTGTACATATATAGTAACATTGTAAATAAAAAGTTAAGGACAAATATGGTAAAAAAACTCATAATTATGGTTTCAAAGTTGTTGACTAGGAAATCAGTAAAACATGTTGAACAAACTCGATAAAGAAAATGTTAATTATGAAACGTAAGGAAATTGTTTTTATGATATGAATTGAATACAACAAGTTTATAACAAGTCACACTGTTGAAGTAAGTAACCTATAGTCTTTGGAAAAAAAAAATAAAAAAAAAAGATGAAGAATTTGAAAAGAGAAAAAGTTTGCGATTAATTGCAATTACATATATGGACCTGGATGCGTACGGAGAATTCACTTAGCATGTGCAAAGCAAGTTTTCTGTTGCCACGGAAGGTTCCATTATTGAAGTAATCATTCACCCCAGTAGATACAACAAACAACGATTCAGAGATATGCTTCTCCACTTCTTTTTCATCATTCAACAGCTTTGCCAAGTTGTGCTGAACAGTACTCTTGAAGAACTTGATTTGACTGTCAAGTGTCAGAGCCGTAGTCTACAATAAGGGTATATAAACAAATAAATAAATAAATAGGTTAAATATTAAAAAAAAAAAAAAATATATATATATATATATATATATATATATATATATAGCAGAGGTGATGAACTCATTTACGTTAGATGTGTCTGGAAGAATTCCAGAACCCCCAGATGCATAATTAACACCTGTGCTGATTTTGTTCCTTTGCTGATTTGAAAGACCTAAGTAGGAAGGGGTAAAGGGTAGTCCTAGATGCATAGCTGCATGAAACAAAATGGTTAATTTCTGGGAACACTGAAAATTTTGTATCAGAATGGATATTAATTTATGGAACAAAGGTTGTGGATTATGACACCACCAAGAGCAAAGTAGTGAAAGTGGAAGCATGTTACCAAGATGATCAACCACAGTTTTTCCATTAGTGTATCGACCAGTAGATTTGCCACCAAAGTCTATGCCAAATGGAAAAAAATTTGCTGCACCTTTTAAGCCAAGACGATTGTTGTTTCCAGAATCAACCAAGGAATCACCAAAAATATACATAGCAGGAATCTGTTTTGAATGATTTGAGTTCATTGCTGAGGAAAAGGGTAAGAACAAAGTTAACATAAAACACAGGGTGAGAAGATAATGGGTATTCATATTTGTGACTATGAAGCCAACGGTTGAAATTGCTTCTGTTTTTATAGTGTGTGGCATTAGGAATCTTCGAATTTTGAGATTATGGGTACTAATTTCATCACATTAGATAATACTAATTGCTTTATTACATAATTCAAGTCAAGTCTTGGACTTTTTTTTAGTAAGATTTTAAAATATCCATATGAACACCGGTAATTTTAAGCTGGCCAAGGATATGACTTTGCATTTAAAATCAGATAGTTGGAATATTAGGTATTGCTAAAAAATTAAAAAATAAATAAATGATGAATAAAAATACAATTGACCAAAAGATAGCTCTTAGAAAGTCAAATAGTTTTAATTTTTTCTTTAAATAGCTATCTATATTTAATACAAGCTATTAAAGGATTTTGTGTAATTTTTTAATGCATGAACAAAATTATGGTATAAAATATATAGCCTGCCAATTTTATTTTTTTAATTAAATATTTTATTTAATAAAAATTTAAACAAAAAAATTTAGTCAAAAGAGAGTTAAAAGTTAAACAATTGAATCTTGATTTTATTCTAATATATATGCTTAAGTGTATGTATAAATTTGGATACTGCAGATATTATCGGAATGTCAGGTAGATATGACCCGAAGAAGATGCATTACATTGATTGCATGAATATTATTGAGTTGAATTACGATAAATGTTATGAAATTGCATTGATCCTATGTTGACATGATTAATGAACTAGTTTGCAAGAGATACTGTTTAACGAACGTATCAGTATTCTGAGTTTTTAAAGTTATTATATAGTAAATCTGTAATTTCAAGTGAGGTATATATTCCTAATGTAATCAACTATGTACAAGGTTTTCTTTTTTGGAATGATCTCATGGGGATTATATTTTGACATGTTACATGATGGGCTTTGTAACGCTGATATCAAAGTTATGTTTCATATTTTTAATGGCCAAAAAAAAAAAAAGTCTAAAAGACGTAACTTTTAATAAAATAATATGCGTTTATCCTTGTAATTGTCATAATTTGTTTTTACTCTTTACAAAATAATTTATTTTGTTTTACTCCTGTAAAATATCTTTTTTAATTTTTATCCCTTTAAAAATTGAAATTACAATTTTTAGTTCCTATAAGATTAATGTTGGAATACACAAATTACATTTATTTTATAGATTCAAATTATTAATTCCCAGGTCAAATGCAGACATTATATCACCAACTTCATTTGGCTCTCATGAAATTTTAATCGAACTTTTAATTCAAATATTTAACAAGTTTCATATAATTAACATTAGGTATAAAAAATAATGATTTTTAAGTTTAAAATGATATAAAACAAATAAAAATATTTATAAGGATGGAAATCAAAACTCCTTTATTTTACATAGATTAAAAATATATTTAAGAATAAGTATTTATTAGTATAGGTGTCTTTATATATATATATATATATATATATATATATATATAAGAAAACAAAGAGAGAAGAATCATGCATATAAAAATTGGAATGCCCAAATACCGCGAGTTCTTTTTCTTGTTGACGTTTACAACGAAGCAAACTAGTTTTGTCTGATTTATTACAATAAAGCGATCACACAAAACAGAAGTAGATGTTATACTAGAACAGTTTGAGGCCCGAGGGCTTGCAAATGATCTCCTTGTTGAAGCAGAGCGATGCATATATTTGGTTTGTGATTTGGCTGGGGTGTTTTTCATCAAAGAAAAGATGAGTATTTCTGTTTGGACAAGGAACAGTGTAGGGATGGCACTTGAGATCACCATGAATCGTATTGGGGCAACAAGGTTTCCATGTTTCCGCTATCCCTGCATAGAAAAGTAGCTAATTATAGTTATTCAAGTGTGCTAACTTGTAGAGAATTCTCCAAACAAACATTAGTTTGATGATCAATGCATTTTGCTTTCTTCTTACCATAATTACTTCCTATTTCCCTCATCTTCTTAATGAACCCATAGAGATCTGAATGTATAAAGGTGAAGCCAGGAAGCAGATATTGGAGCTCATGGAGTGCTTCAGGCAACCCAGTATTGTAAAAGTTGATCACTTTGTTTATATTCTCATCACATTTTCCCATTGGTCTTGTGTGGATAGCTTTTGTTGGAGAGCAACCTGCTGGGGGAATGTTGTTCACCAAAAATTTTCTTGCTCCTAGGTTATACATTTTCTGCCAGAAAACAAAAAATTAATTAATGTAAAGAAATTTCCCAGTTTTTATATTTCTATATCAAATCTAGAATGAAAAATACCACCTCCTTGTACTGTAAATGCACTAGATTGAAAAAAAAAGGGTCATAGAATGAAAATTAAAATTCAAGTTTCTGTCACACATAAAACATATACATACCATGATGTGGACGGAGATTTCTTTTATCAGGAGCCAAGAAAAGTTTCTGTTGCCGCGGAAGGTTCCATTTTTGAAGTAATCATTCACCCCAGTAGAGACAAAAAACAAGGATTCAGATATATGCTTCTCCAATTTTTCTTTCTCAGTGAACATCTTAGGCAAATTATGCTTAACAGTCCTATGGAACAACATAATTTGTCTTTCCATGGTCAAAGATGTATCCTGAAGCCAAAAGGGTAAATCATGTCAATGACAAAATATCTGAAGTGATGAACTCTCAAAGAAAGAAGGTGCAACATTTACTTACGTTGTTGGTGTCTGGCAGAATACCAGATCCACCAGATGCATAATTAATGCCTGTGCTGATATTGTTCCTTTGATGATTTGAAAGACCCATGTAGGGAGGGGTTAAGGGTAGTCCTAGATGTATAGCTGCATGGAAAGAAGAGCTCAGAACGATTCAAGTTTGTAAATTTAAGTTTAGATGAAATAGAATATTCTAGGAATTTTGTGATAACATGTCACCCTTTTGTAATAAGATTCAGTTTCAGATCAAAATTCAACAGTGGAAAATGAGATTATTTGTGCCAAGTGACACCAATTTATGAAACAAAGATAATTAAGTGATTGATAAAAACACTGAAGGCAAAGTAATGTTACCTAGAAAATCAGCCACAGATTTTCCATTCGTGGCTCGACCTGTAGGTTTGCCACCGATGAAGTCTATACCATAAGGAGGAAAAAAGGTTTCACGGCCAGGAAGATGGATGTTGTTTCCACAATCAACCAGAGAGTCACCAAAAACATACAAAGCAGGAATGTGTTTTGGGTGGAATGAAGTCTGTGCTGATGATAAGGGTAGGAGCAAAGTGAACACCAAACAAAGGGTGAGATAGCAGGTAATTAATCATTGTATTCTGTGTATCTGAAGCCAGGGTGGTGGGGTTCTAGGAGACTAAACCAGGCCTTGGTTTTCTATCTGGTTTGTGGTGATTGTTGAATCAATTGCCTTGGCTTTTATAGTGTCTTATGTGACCACCCTCGAACAGAAATTACGAAAAGCAAATTAGTGAAAGTGCACCGCTTCATTAAAGTTCGCATAAAGGAACTAAAAAGTCTCTGACACAAGAAACTACTAGATATAATATTACGTTAAAGTTAATAATAATTAATAAATACATATTAAGGTTTAAGGCCACCGTGTGGCCAAAATGTTCAGATGTAAAATTGAGATGTACTTTTATTATTTTTGCCTTTTTTATTATTATTATTTTTTATTAATCATTAGTTTATTCCGATACCATTTCATTTCTAATTATTTTTATATTTAGTATCTCTTAAATAATGGTTAACTCTATCTTCTTTTATAGAACTATTTGACTCATTATTAATGGTTAAATTTGGATTTCATCGTACCGAATATCTATTTATACACCAAATATATACTAATCAATTTAATAAATAATATATTTTAAAAATATTATCCAATATATTCATATATAATTACATTATAATAATTAATTCTTAAGTTATCTTATTTATTTTTATTTTTTTATTTTTCTTTTCATATTCGTTATGTTTGTTTTTCAATCTCTTCCATTTATTCATTATTTTTATTTTTATTTTCTCTTTTAGTTCTTGTTTGGATTAAAGGATTAATTTAAGGGAGTAGAAAATGATAAATTAAAAAAAAATGAAAAAAAATGTAATTTGGATTAAGAAAAAAATATAAAAAAGTGTAGGAATATATAAGAAAAATTGGTGATTAATTTAACTATGTGAATGATAAAAAAATTAATAAAAATTTAAAGATTACCCAATTATTTTTGATAAAAATTATTATTATTAATATAATTTAAATATTATAATTATTTAAATTATTTTTATTTTAATTATTAATATGATTATTTGAATTAAGAAAAAGAGGATATAAATAAAGAAAAAATGAATAGAAAAATTATATGAGATAATATTGATTTGATTGATTATAAATAAATAAATAATTGATTAAATTAATAAATAACCAAAATATCCTTAATATAAATTTATGTTATAAAAATTTATAATTAATATTAAATTGTACAAATTATTTTATAATATAATTATAATGTTTCATTTATTTTACAAAAATTATAATATAAAAACAATTTAAGAAATAACAGTGTAAAAGTTATTTCAAAAAATATAATATAAAAAATTATTAATTTTATTTATTATCTTAATATAATATTAACCTGAAAAATAAACACAATTCATTAAAAATATTATTTGTTAATGTTGTTTCAAAAAATTTTAAAAAACAAATAAATTTAGTTAAAGTATATCATGTAATTCATTATTTATACTCAGTTAATTATTTTTTTAAGAATATAAATGTTTTTCAGTTTTTCTCAACATTTCTCTATTAATTGAAAAGTTATATAGGATTTCACTATAATTTGTTCACAGATTAGTTCAAATTCATAAATACAAACATCAATATAAAACTATGTCTTTATTTCTGGAATAGTAAATCTCTAAAGACAAAAAGGGCTTATGTTCTTCTCTTTTCTCCCTATCTAATTCTTTAATTTAAAAATATTATATTAAAATTTAATAATTTTTTTTTCAAATCAACATTAAAAATAGTAAAGTATTTATTTTAAAGTTTTTTTAATTATTTAATCTGTATAACTATATTAAACTACGGAATAAAAAATAAATTCATCTCATAAATACTTAATATTTGTTTAATTAAATAATTAATAATTTATATAATAAAATGATATTAAATTATTTTTTTTATTATTATCATAAATAAATTATTTGTTGTTATCATAGTTTTAAATAATTAATTATATCTCTTTTAATTTTAATGTTAGTTATATCCAACAAGTATTTTTTTTATACAATAAATTTGCAGTGTTGCTTCTAATATAATGGCAAAACGCGTGAATGCCATATTCAATTTTTTTCTATGATTGAATTTGATTGGAAAAAAATTAATAGTGATCTTTATGAATTAGTTCAGATATCTTATTCTGAGGTGTAAAATCTATTATACCATGCATATATATGATAACTTTGTATAATGCAACACTATCTACCCTAATTTCTGCTATCTCCAGGTCCACTAACTCTTTTTAGGATATATTCGACTAAAGAAAGAAAATGTGAAAACAAAATAAAACAAAAAGAATTTATATTATTTAAGAAAAAAATAATATAAAAAAGATTTATTTAAAAAATTAAATTGAAATTAAATATTTATTTAATTATAAAAGTATTCATATAATTCAATTAATTTTTATTCATTATTTTTGTATATATTTTATTCTTCAATAATATATATTTTAATATATAATTATAAAATATCTTTATTATAATTTTTTAAAAAATTTATTGAAATATAATAAATAAATAAATAGTATATACAATTATTTTTAATTTTTATAATTACTTATAGTATTTTACTAAAATTATATGTATTAAAGTTATAAATATAAAAATGAATAATTATTTAATTTAACATGCTAATTATAATAGAAAATAATAAATCTCAACAACATAATTTTAAAGTATAAAATATAAATAAAAAAATTAATTAAAGTAAAACATATTGAAAAATAATTTTTTTATTCAAATATTTTGAAATCATAAATTATAAAAATACAAATTATTTTCACTTTACTGTATCTTTTAATAATCAAGATATTTATTCAGAAGTGGAATTATAGATAACTAACAGGTCATGTGCCAACCACAAATAAAAAAAAAATATATATATATATATATAATAATTTTAAAAAATTAAATATTTTTTTCTCCTATTTTTATATTTTTATCTTTTTTTTACTTCAATTTTTTCTATTAAATACGCATTTTGTCTTTTAACATTTTTATCTTTAATTTTTATTAATCATTTATTCTCATATTCATTATCTTTTTACAATTTTATCTTTTAATTTTATCACTCATTTATTTTCATATTATTTTCGTTTGATTTTAACTTTTCTCTTTAGTTTTCAAATTTTTCTTTTTTAAAATTTCATTTCTATGACATCATTGTAATTTTTTATTCTTTAGTTTTTTTTTTCTTTTTTTGTCAGTTCTAAGGCAAAAATTTTAAAAATAAATTAGATATCTTCCAATAATTTTTTTAAAGTAAAAAATAATAAATAAATTTATTTTCTTTATTATTTTTATTTATTATAACAAATTAATATGTGTAGTATAATATAAAAATATAAAAATGATATAAATTTGTTTACTTGTTAGTTAATTTTTTTAATGTTTTATGATACTCTATTTTAATGTTAAAATGTAAAAAAAAATTTGAGTTTTAAAAATATATAAAATAAAAGTATAGACTAATTTTTTAAAAGAGAGAAGGTGGTAGATGAAATAAATTTTATTTTCTAAATTTAAATTCATTTAGTAATATTGAATATGTAATATATTTATTTTTATATGATACTTAATTTTTATCAAATAATAAAATACAATAGATTTGTGATCTATATTTGAGAAAATTAACATTAATAATTTTACATGAAATACATATATTATCATCGTTTAAAAGATAGATATATTAAAGGAGATAAAACAAAATATAATTTTTTCAAAAGAATTGTCACTAATGCAGGGAGCACATTTTACAACAAGATATGATAATAGTTGTATTAAAACCAATGTAATATAAGGTGTAGTGACATTTTTGAAAATATGATATGGGATGCTACATCAGTTCTCCCTTAACCAATGTAGTATCTCTTCTTAAAAAAAAATTCAGCCATTTCCTCACTCATTTCGTCCTCGTTAACACTATAACTCTTCAATGCAACCCTCACTGCGTCGTATGACCATGTTTGCCTACAACTCGCTGCACCACCATTTGTCACCATAATTTGTCTGCTCCATTTACTGTAATTAAGCATCCAACATCGTTTGGGAGCACCGTTCGTCATTATCGTGTCACATCAGCAAGTCCGTGTGTATAAAGCCTTGAAAATTGATTCAGAGATGTCTCTATATTTGGATTGTACACATTTCACACGTTTATCAGCAGTATTACGATTGTCGAGATATTTATTTAAAATAGAAATGATGAATAATGACAAGTTAGGTTATATTATTTAGTAAATTTAAATACATGTAGTTAATGTTTATAAAAGTCAATTATATTTTATTCTTTATTCATGGGAAAAAAAGAAAAAAAAAACTCATAAAATTCAATAAAATAACATTACTCCTCACATATTGTCTAGGGGGTTATGGCTTGTTAAAGAAGAAGATTATGTTGGAGAAAGCCAAGAGGGCAAATGAATCCTCCTCCAGTAGAGAAGTTGTGTCTCTTCTAACCCCTCCTACTCGACATGAGGAGTGAAAGATGACTCGTACTAAATCATCAGGCTAAATGACATTTGAGACATCTACAGTGATTACGAATCGAATTGTAAGTTATTGCAAAAAAAAAAACAAGATAATAATTTTGTAAATTTGTAAGTTTGAAATGATATTGCCACTAACTTGGATAATAATTTTGTTTGTATGACACATTACATGAGTAGAGTTCTCAAGGTACTTTTGTTTCTCATGGATGTCAAGATATTTTGACCATTGTTATTGGCACTCTAGAACATCCTTGTCGTGTACGTACTACAAAATTTGGTGTGGATGTTCAACAGTATTTTGGAGTACCTCCTTACCTTAGCAGTTATGAAGGACCTGTAAATCAATAGGTGATAAGCAACTAGTAGTGCTCTAACATAGAGATTGAAACCACACATAGAGGAACAATTAAGAAGCACACTTGCAGAGGAATATAGGCGTGAGTTTGAAGAACGAATGGAGTCCATGAGTATCTCATATCAGAATCAAGTACCTCAAGAGAATGTACCTCCTACTTGTGCTCGTGAAAGTAGTAATGTGGCTGATAATGTGGATGTATATGAGGAAGCTGACACTGAAGTATGTTATCGATGTAAATTGTTTGTGGATGGAGATCTTCCTCATCTTGTGGCTGTTAAGGGGAGTGTATGGAAGGTTCACATTACACTCAATGACATTGGATGCGTGTTATAAAAGAGTAGTGATTGAAGATATCAAAGATGCTACTGCTACGGTCCCTATGTCCACATATGAGGTTCAATTGGTGGCATAGACCCTTCATACATTCATTGCATGACCTACACATCTAACTCAACCCTTTATAAGAAAAATAAGGTATGTAATTAAAGTTTAATTTTATGAATATATGTCTTATGTATATTGATGTTTGTCATGGTGTTAAGCAAGATACTGTGACGCAAAAACAAATCATGACACCTGATATTAGGCCACAACAACATTCTAATGCATTGGTGGAGTTGATTGGAGTTTCACAAAGTTTACATCAAACTCCATATGCGATACCATGGGATGTAACACTTTTTTTGTGTGGACAATAATAATGTACCTTTGTACATAACCATGTAGGATACATTTGAAATAATACAGGGTAACCAAATATTGAACATTGTCGTCATACAGTTATGGATGATGTATGTGTATTTTAACTCTAAATTTCATTCCACTTGTTTAATATAGATGATACATTATCTTATGTTTATGTTAACAATGTAGATATGTCAATCGATTAATTATGAATATGGGAACGCTAATTTGTATGATTTCTTTGAGTCTCAAGTCATACAAAAGTCTAGGAATCGAAAAATGGAATGTCAAACATATATCCCACGGTGGATTCAAGACACCCTGAAGACCATTTATATGAGTTCATATATTAACGTGTAAGTACAATTTATATTTGTTATATATTTAATATAATAATATATTATTACTAATCAATCTCTTATCTAGGTTTCATTGACAACTAATGGTATTAATTATGATGAAAAATATTGTGGTGTGATTTTGGTCACGTCATAAAAAGCCAACTATAGACTTCAAAATTGTGATACAAAGATATTATTTTAATTACCTCTTTTTGTATTTATCAAACTATTATTGATTATTAATTACTAATATTTTATTTTATATAGTGTTGTGAATGTGTGTAATATCTTAGATAATAGATCCACTTCATCGTCAGCATAATTTACAATAGATTTATCCTAAGGTATATAATTGCATTTCAAAATTGTTCATAACATGTTTTATAGTTTGTAAATAATTAAATTTTAATAATTGACATGTTAGTGTAATAAGCAATAAGAAAATTATGAGTATGGATACTACGTCACGTATTGGATGTGAATCATAGCTTGTGTGCCTAATATGGATTCATGATATTAGGTAATAATTAAATTATTTATCGTATTATGTTATTTTAAATATAATATCTATAGTATATTTGTTATAGATTTTTGCAAACGAGGAATTCATCGGATTACACCACCATTGAAGAAATAAGACAAGAGTGAACTAAGTTTTTCTTAAGTTTTAGAAATAATGATGGATTAGTGTAGTTTTCATAGGATAATTTGTGGACATAATTATTAATATATATGTATTTTTTCTAGATGACATTAAATGAATTGTATTGTATTATATATGAATTGTCTAATTGTTTCTATCCTAAATTTGAATTTGCAAATTCAAAAGTTAAAAAAAACACATACTACATCGGTTATGGTCAAACCTACTATAGTATCTTCCCTTCTTTCCATTCACTTAGTTGTTTTTGAAACTGATATTATATATAACTTTTTTACAATGGTTCTTTAATCGATGTAGAAAGTGAAAACTTTCTACATCATTAGTATCTACATTGGTTAAAGAACCGATGTAAAAGGTCTAAAATAACCAATGTTAAATGTACTTTTTGCACTAGTAGATTTGACACATCTTTTACAAAATCTTTGTGAAGAAAAATTTATTAGTTTATAAGATCAATTTTCATTATCTCAATGATAATAACTTATATGAGGGAAAAAATGAATATATTTTGAAAATATATTGAACAATGGTGTCCTCTTCTTCCTTCTTAGGATTCATCCCAAAAGGTTTTTACAAATAAAATTTTAACATAACATAATCTTCAAAAAAAATGTTATGAATTATTATTTATTATTCATGGAGTTTATTAATCTTTATTATAAAATTTATATATTTATAATCTTTAAGTTATATTTAGTTATATTATATTTCATTTTCGTATAGTGAAATACAAGAAATTAGAATATCTAATTTATTTTTCATATAAGACTTAAGATCTTATTTCATAATATTTATAAAATTTTAACATAGTTTTTACAAGTAAAAAATGTTGCTTAACGAAAAATGAAAAAAAAAAATCTCGCAAAAAATCTTTCACTTTAAACCTTCTCATTTGTCTCAATGATTAGTCTCCCAAATTACATTGACTAAACTCAAATAAATTTAAGAAATTTTTAACGTAAATAGGAATGATAAAAATATTTAAATTTTTATTTTCTTTACAAAATAATAACAATACTATAATAATAATAATAATAATAATAATAATAATAATAATAATAAAATAATACATGTGTTAAATTTTTAATTTTTTTTGTAAAATTAATTTAATTTTAAATAATAATAATTGTTTAGAATGGTACTAAGCACACGGAGATTGATATTTTCTTTGTTAGAGAGAAGGTTATGGGCAAGCAGCTATGTATCTATCATATTCCAACTCTTGATCAATGGGCGGGTGAAGAATTTTTCTTCTAAAAAGTCTTCTCCTTTGAGTTTGAGGGGATAATAGGAAAAACAAGTTACTTTATACCCTTTATATAAAATATTACTTGTAAGTTCTTTTGTACAACTATAAGTTTATTAATGATTTAGCTTATACAACTATCAATCTTTGTACCGCTTTCGGTAAACAATGCCTATAAATACATTATGTGCTCATATTTCAGAATAGTAATACAATAATAAAAATATTCAATTCATGTTTAGTTCACTAATTCTATTAGTTTAGTTACTCTAAGATTTTTTTATTACAAAATTGTCATAACATTTTCAATCCAGGTTTCAATTAAAAAAAAGGAAAAAAAATCACTGTTTCCTGCCTAAATCTTTAAAATAAGAAAAGTTGAACAAAATTAGCAGTTTTATAATAAAAAAATTTAAAATTAAAAATACAAAAGAATGTTTTATAACATCTAACTCTAAACTTTTTAACTAAAAGCATTTTTTGTAACAAATAGTGTCCCCGACAAAAAAAAATTCCAAATTGGTATAAAAAGCTTCTGGATTATATTTTTTAGGTTGCTTATCGATAATTAATACGCAACTGCGTTGGAAAATGGAGTGGGTTCATGTGACACAAATGGCATAGTTAATCCAAACCCGCAAGACTACTTCCACATTAAAACATAACTGAGTAAGTTGTATATTTCACACGCCAATAGAACTTTCACTATGACATGTAACTTGATTACAATTATACGTCTTTTCAAGATGATAATCAATTGTTAAATGGATTTGCAATATACAGAGTGAAAATTCCATCTTAAATATTATGTACGTTTAAGTATGATAACGAAAAAGTTGGGCTAAGAGATTGAGTTCAACCAGACTTGCTGAAATCAAAGACTAAGACCAACAAAGACAATTCATCAACACTTGGAGTTCATCTTGTCGTTTTGGATTGTGCTGTCTGATTCCAAAAATTTGCCCCAGACGGGGTGTTTCTGCCAAACCAAACTCATTTCCTCAAGTGGGATACCCTTTGTCTCTGGCAATAGCTTGTAGATGAATATGGTCATGATCACCACAAAGCACCCGAAGAAGATGAACAAACCGAACTTCATGTGACACAGCATTGATGTGAAGAATTGGGCTATGAAGAAAGTGCTGAGCATGTTGACACCAACTGTGATGCTCTGAGCGGCAGGTCTAATCTCAAGAGGAAAGATTTCACTTGGAACCAACCAGCCTAGAGGACCCCAAGACCAAGCATAACCTGAAACATATACACAGATGATCCCCACAACCACAATTGCATACCAGTTAGGCAGTGTTCCTGGGTTCCCATTTGTGCCAAATGCAACCGCAATTGCAATTGTCATGATGATCTGTGGCCAAAACATACTAATTCAGAACTAACCAAATCAATGGAATGAAAAATGTATGTGTGTTTGAGTGAGTGTTTAACAGATATATTTTGAATGAAATTGATAGTCTAGAATTCATTTTTAAGTTAAAAGATTTATGTTTTAATGTTTTTCATCTAAAACCAATCAAAATTAATCTACCTGAGATCAATCATGTGAACTATATCTTAAATAAGGTTAAACTATCCTAATTGAGTTTGAAAAATGCACTTTACGAGGTTGAAAAAGGTACCTGGCAAATCAACATTTGAGCACCACCTTCAAGGAAAAGGGAGCGTCTTCCAAATTTATCTACAACAAGAATTGAAACTAACGTTGAAACAGGTTTAAAGCTGCCAATTATCACTGCAGACATGAGAGAAGCAGTGCTTCCAAAACCAATTGTTCTGAACAAAATAGGAGCATAGAATGTGATCACATTCAAGCCAGTGAACTGCTGGAAGAAAGGAATACATATGGCAAAAACAAGCTGTGGTCTATACTTCCTCTGCATCAAGGTTTTCCAAGGGTGTTTCACATTTTGTGAGGCTTCACTAGCAGCAAGTATGTCCTTGAATTCTGCATCAATTTCAGTTGTACCACGAATTTTCACAAGCTCCCTTCTGGCATCTTCATGACACCCACGTTCAACAAGGGAGCTTGGTGAATCAGGAAGGCAAAATGAACCTATAACAAAAATGATAGCAGGGACTGCACCAAGCCCTAAGCTTAAGCGCCATCCCTGTCCATTCAGAATTTTGGCAAAGTAGTAGTTGAACAAATTGGCCACAAAGATGCCTATAGTGATTGACAATTGGAAGCACATGTTTAGAGCTCCACGGTAATTATAAGGAGCCATCTCTGATACATAGATTGGAACTGACTGAAAATACAAATTATTAGTTAGCAAGCAAGAACTATAATCAAAGCTGGAACCCAACTGAGACCTAAAGAGTAATTAGTTAACCCATATAAAAGAGTTCTTACGTTGTAAACAAATACAAAATTATTATATATGATAATTCTATGATAGTTGTTATCTTAAAGTCATCATATTTCTTATAAATTGACAGGCAGTATTATTTCTGATAGGTTGATTACTTTACTTTGTAAGTCCTTGTTTTTTACTCTCAACCAATCAAATTTTGTCATACTTGCATGATAATTTTGTTAACTTTTGAACTATAATTGTCTTAAAATTCATTCTTAGCATGATTTCTGATTGATTTACAATGTGAAATTTTCTTACATGCGCACAAAAATAAAACTTGAAGGAAAAGGGTATACCTGATTGGCACATCCAATGCCAAAACCAAGCAACAACCTGCCAACAATAAGCATCCAAATACTTACGGCAAATCCATTAATTAATGCACCAGCCACAAAGAGTATTCCCCCTATAATCATAGTTGCACGCCTACCCAACATTCTGGTTATGCTGGATGCCCCAAGACCCGCAACTAGAGCGCTCAGATAAAGGGAAGATGTGAACAGTGTCAGTATCTGACTGTTGAATTTGCAGTACTGGTTTGACGAGGGCTTCATATTAGACTCTTTTTCATATACAGATGGAAAAAATATCTTCAGGAAAGAATCCATGGAGGTCACTCCACCTTTGAAACAAACACAACAAAAATCCCACATAAAGAAATTTCATCAATAAAAAATACGCATCAGCTGTATTGTTTTCAAGATTAAAACAGAACACAGTGGTTAATGCTTCAATAGTATATATATAATCAAAATTAACTTAAATACTCTCTCAACCACAGACAAATCTTAGGATAATCATGCATTGAAAACCCAGATACGAAACCGCATTCCAGATTCAAACAGGGTCGAAATGGGTAATTAAAATTAGCATCAAGGCAAGAATTTCTAAATAAATGTCAAGTATTGGATTTACCTGAAACACCATGGTCATAACCAAAAATCAAGCCACCAGTGGCTGCCATGATGCAAGTAAAAACTACCCTGAGGGTGAGTTTGCCTGGATACTTGGTTGGAACTTCCATGATATTTTGCTGAGTAATTTCCTTTGCTTTAAGTTTTTGGAGAAGTGAAGAACGCATGAGCGTTACAGAGAGGAGATCAAAGTCAGATATTGGACAAAAACTATTTATAGCATTTTATTTTTGAGTTTCCTATCTCTCCAGTTATCTATCATTATATATATGGAAAGTAGACAGCATAGCAGTTGTACGGTAAAATTATTACTCATATTCACTCACACTGTAAAACAAAATGAAAATTACCCAACGCCAATGTATATGGAGACAAGCAAAAGGAGAGAGAAAGACTAAGAAACTGGATCTGAAGTCTAAATTAAGCACTCTCACAAGGCAGTATTATTCACCAACAATTACTGGCTGTGCTATATACTAGATGATTTACAGTATATTGATTTTAATTATATAATCTGTTAATTAAGTGTATAAAATATGTCAAGTCAATATTCTTATTCTAACTAATAAATGCCATTTATGAATGGGGATGTTTGTGAAAATTAAAGATAATTAATAAATTTATTTGACCAAAACAATATTTAAATTAAGGGGATTTAGAAAAAAACAATTATGTGCTGTTGATGAAAATATGAAAAATAAAATTAGAAAGTAAACAAAAGTAGAAATTATATAAGACAAATACCACTTAAAATTATATAATCAAGGTTCAAAAAACCTCCTTTATGTAAAATTTTGATATTTTTACTATTAATAAAATTATTTGTTTAAATTCAGTGTCCATGAAGGAACCATCTTACTAATGAACCTATAACTCCTCATCAATCATCTTATGCAATACTTAATTAAAAAATAAAAAAAGTATAGATGAATGCAGGTGTTGTTCTAGTAAAAAATTTAAGAGATACCAGAATTACTCTTTCAAAAATTATAGAATATATTGTGATTGTGACAGTGTGTAGAGATAGACGATTTGAAGTTAGAAAAAATTAAACATGTGATTGCTTCAATACTGAATACTGTGGTTGCAATTGGGCATAATGTAGTCCAGTTATGTGAAGTGTGAACATATGACTGAATTCTGAATTCATGATTGCTTCAATGTCAGAAAGTATGGTGGTGGTGTGGAGACAATTTCAAGCTTAGGCGCAAAGCAAAAGTGATTTATACTGTAAATAAATGATAGTGGGGGTGGACATTGATTGTGTAAGGGTTATAAACTAATCATTATACAATCATTTGGTGTATGGACTTATGAATGAGAGAAAAAATAGGTATAATAGGTTTCTCTTTTATCTTCTTCTTATCTTTTTTTTTTTTCTATTTCGGGTCAATTTGCTACAAATAATTACAAAAATTAGTATTGCATTCTATTTTTTGAATGTTTAGTTTAATAGTAAAAAAATCATTTTTTAAAAAAAAAGTACTTAATTTATAATAGCTATTTAAAATAATTATTTTCTAAAAGTGGAACAAATGGATGAAAAGTTTAAAACAATTATAAATAGCACGTTGTATATACAGTAATGATTCATCGCAGAAAAGATGATGCACACGAAAGCATTATGCATAGTCAAATAAGCACTTCATTTCATAAGTCACGGGTGAGGGTAGGCCTAAATTTAACCATATTTGACTTATGCCATTGTGTTCACGGGATATATATAGAAATGTTATACACAAATAATAATTTTTTTCTTAAAATGGAGATAAAAATAATACTTTACTGTACCATATTTATTATGATTACATAATTAAAAAATATTTTTTCATATTTTAAAAATATATTATTTATCAAAAACATATTAATATCAAAAGTTTCAAAATATAAACTGATGAGATATGTCATGTTATTTTCAAAATTAATATATACACATAAACATTTTATATTACAATAAGAAATTATATAGTAAACAAACAAAAAAATTAGAGTTTTAGTTTTATAACTATATCCACTACAGTTTAAATATTGAATATAGGATCAAATTGTTACATGTAAGATTAACATATAGGATTAAGTGTCAAGTTGGAGTTTAAAATATAAAATAACTGTTGTGTTTATAGAAAAAGAAACTATAAAAAAAATGTGAAGTTTAAACAATTTTAAACAATTAATATAATGAAATGTGAATTTATGATAATAATATGATAATATATTTTTTTCTGTAGTAAATCTACAATTTAACTAAATTCAAATAAAATAATCTTCCTGGAATATAATTAATAATAACTTATTTTGAAGTTTTTTTTTTCAACACAAGTTGTAAGATTCAATATGAGTTTGAAATCATATTCAGGCATTAATGAGTAGTATTTTAACTTTTTGATTGAAAAAGTTAAAAAGATAATAATTCTGATTTTTATTTAATTAGGAGTATGTAAGAATTTGTAAGATTTGTAGATTTTTTTTTAATAAAAAGGTGTGATTCTTTTTACAAAAACTTCTAATAATATATAAGTATCCCGTTCTGAAATAATTTAAATTAAATCATGTTACGGTGGGTGGATCTACAAAACCACGACCGTGAATCAGGTCGCAGCGCAATTTGCGCTCCCAATCGCATAAATTTTTGTAGCGGCGTTCCAAGGGTTGAAATTAAATTTTATCAAAATTGTCACATGAAACGATGAAACTTTGTTATATTTCACGTTTTGAATATAAAAAAATCATGTCCTAATTCCTAATCAGAATAAAATAAATTTTGGTGATAAAAAAAAAAAGTATATGTTAGTGATGTTGCTTCAAAATAAAAGGGAAAAAGTACGAACCTTTGTGGCCACTGCGAACACTTTCATCTATTTGAAAAGAGACTTTGCCTTCTTCCATTTCTCCTCTTCTTCTCTCCAAAAACTCGTTTTTTCTCTGCATTTCACGAATGAGAAAGACATGAAAATTTATAGATTGGAACAACTCATGATGACAACATTACATCTCAACTGCTACCTGTTTCTTCTATTTCTTACATTATATAACAAACATTTAATACCAAATTTTAATTCCATGTGTGTTCTACAACCTTTACTATTTTCCTCTGCATTAGATAAATGAGAGATATAGAAAATAAATTTCTTGTATGGTAAGTGGGATTTTTAGTCATGTATTAAATTTAAGGGTAAATAATGAACATAAAATAGAAAAAAAAATAATGTCAAAGATACAAGAAATTATCAGCATTATAATTTTTTTTCTATGCTCCATTGTCGCCATTAATATAAATCTGTGTCTAATTAAAATTTTCCTTATATTTGATTGAATTCAAATATGTTTACCACTTCATTTCTTAGGCACTTTCAAGTTTAAAATGTTGTATTACTTACTTTTTAATATTTTTGGATTTACAATATTTGCTTTTTATGGAATGATATATTCAAAATAATTAAAAATTAATTATATATATATATATATATATATATATATATAGTTACCCACTTTCGAAAAATTATAAATATCTATTTTTATATATGTATTTTTTTTGTAAAATTTAATAAATCATTTTCTAAAGAAACTAAAATCTAGATAAATCATATTATAAAACAAGAATTTAAAATAAAAAATTTATATATTATAATTAGATTTTTATGTTAAACATTTTTTTAAGTATAAGTGGGAATATGAATAATCGCATAAAAACTCGTAACTAAAATAAATATGAGAAAAGAAAAACAAAATTGACAATAGACAATAATAAATTTGATAATTTTTTTAAAATTTAAGAAGAAAATAATAATAATTTTCTCTCTCATAAATAAGAGAACTCAATTATTATGTAATATAGAAAAGAAAAGGAAAAGATTTGGGGTGATTTACAAGATAAATATTATGCTCTTTTATAACACGAAAAGTAAGCACCAACATATAATTTTCTTGACATTGGATTTTTCTTCACACATTCTCACCATCTCTCACTTGAAGATTTTGATTAAATTAATCAAACATTCACAAGTACATTATTACTATATTTCATGTTGTTATTGCAATAGACTTTCAGTAGGATCGTCTCTATGTAAACTTGTCAATGCTAACTGACTATCACAACATCTGCTAGGTTTTTCTTACTTTATCCTGAAATATGAGACATGATTCCTTGCAATATACTGATAAGTTTCTGCGATACACAAAGCTACAAAATTCTATAATTTAGATAACTAGTTATTACCTCTCTAACAAAGGTAAACTCATCAAGATCACCTGTAAAACTTGAACAAACATAGCATCTGACAACTAGTTTTGATCCTCCGAAACATAATACAATATCCAAGGTTCCTTTGATAAAAATTCTTTTGATAATACTCATGTTTTCCACCACAATTTGCATTGATCTACTAATTGTTCTCACTGCTTGTGCAATATCTGGTTTTGTATCGATCATAATATTCATAAGATTTTCCATTGTTGATGCATACTGTATGCGAGACATTTACATCCTCCCTACTTTATTGCTAGGATTCATACTTGATGATAACTTGATATAAAATTGGGTAAAAATTGGCTTATACCCTTATATGTTGAAACACTGCCAAGACTTTCGTTAAGTTATTCTTTTGATAAAACCAAACCTTCTTATCTTTTATGTCTCAATGAATTTACATCCCTAAAATCTTGTTTATTGGTCCCTAGTTCTTCATATCAAACTTCCTAGTCAACTGGGTCTTCAAAACATGGATTCTAACTTTGTTGGAGCCTACCACCAACATATCATCTACATACAATGACAAAATGATAAAATCATTTTCATCAAATATATTGTAATAGGTATAACAGTGTGAACTTAGTCTATTGTAATCAAGGATTAATCATGAAAAATCAAATCTCTTGTACAACACCTGGACACCCGGTTTAAACTGTACAGAGATCTGGACAACTTGCAAACCAAGTTTCCTTTTTCTTTAAGTCTTTTGGTTGGTGCACTTCAATCCTTTCTCTAAGCTCACCTGAAAAATAATATTTGTATAACTGCGAATAATAACCGTGTGGATAATGAGATGTACAAGAAATACTCCTTCACATTGTTAGCATAACCCAAGAATTTGTCTTTCCCAAACTTTGAAAACACGAACTTCCTCTTGATGTAGTACACTCATAATCTCTTAGAGTAATCATTGTCATTATTGACACAAAATATTTGACCACTCATAGGATAATACCAGCGATTTCAACACATCATAATAAACCAAGTCCAATATATGTTTCCTCCTTATACAATTTGATAAGGGACTCACAAATCTCCTTCGTTGTATCCTTCTCCATAAATTTGTTATAGCGTTGTTGTTAATTTCTTCTCACCTTCGATTTATGATTCCCACATTCTTTTTCCAATTACTTTTACACAATTGTCTTTTCGTAAAATTCCCTTCATCTTCAATTTCCATGATGAGAAACTATTCTCATTAAACTTCTCTATCTCATATTTTATTATCATGGTTTTAATCAACTTATACACCTTTCATTATAAATAGTATTTCCTATTAGAACAATAATGTAAATCATAAATAACATTAAATTTCTCTATCTCATATTTTGTTGTTATGGTTTTAACTGACTTATGCACCTTTCACTATGCATAGTATTGTCTACTGAAACAATAATATAAACCGTAATTAGTACACTAGGTAAATTTCCAGGAAAGAGAGATGGGTCACTAATTAATAGACACGCTTAAATACCAATTCTTTTCTTGTAAAAAATTTTCCTAGACATGCACTGTCACACTATCACACTTTATATCCAGTAACTAGAATAACTCTTTTCTGATATGGAAGATCAAATTAACCACAACCACAAAACATAATAAAAATTTTCTCCAACACGATTCTAATGACTATAACAGCGAAATAATATGATAGATAAGAAACCAACCAATGACTCTAATACCACTATTAGAAAAGAGTAGTTACATAAAAACTCACAAGTAAAGTAAAATATGAGAAAAGATAAACAAAATTGACAATAGACAATAATAAATTTTTACTATCAGAAGAAATTACAATATCCTCTTTAAATTTAAGGAACAATAATAATATTCTCTATCAGATAATTCAACTACTATGCAATATACTAGTAAAGAAGAGAAGGAAAAGATTTGGGTGTACCGTATTATGCTCCTTTTATAACAGAAAAAGTAAGCACCAACATATATTCTCACAAACTTCAATATTTATTTGATATAGAAGTCTTGTTTCCACAACTTTTTTAATAAATTTTTCATTATTATGTTTATTTTATTAATATTATAATCATTATTATTTTTAATATACAATTAATAATAAAAAATAATACTAATAATTATAAATATAAAAAATATTATAATAATATTTATTATTATTTAAAGAATTATATTTTATTATTATTATTATATTTTTTAAAGGAAAATAATTATTAATAATAATACTAATAAAAGATAATAATAAATTCAATTGAAATAATACTTACAATAATAAGAAATAAAAATATTAATAACAGTAAAATCACACAACTCTTTGGCCTAAATAAGTTCTTACAGCATAGAGACATCACACATAATTTTAAAAGAAAAATTTCAATTAGGAGGTTTAAATATGGAGTGGTAGTTAATATTTTCTTAAATAATCAAAAGAATTTTTATATTTTTTATCAAAATTAAATAAAAGATCTTTATGCAATAATGAAATTAAAAGAAGAGCAATTTTACTAAGAAAATATCTTACCTTCTTAACAGAAAATGGATATATGTCCAAGAAAATGTTTTATCTTCTTAACAGAAAATGGATAAGATAACTTGTATGTCAAAAAAATCTTATCTACTTAACAGAAAATGAATAAAGTAAGTTAGAAATAATAGTTAATTTAGCAAGATACTATCTTTAAAAATAATATGCCCTAAAATACCTTGCTCAAAGATAAAATGACATTTTTAATAATTTAAATTAAATTGTTTTTAACACATTTATTTAATATTTTATTTAAATTATTAAGATAATTATTAAAAGAATCACCATAAATATAAAAGGCATCCATAATCACTTTAATATATTGTTGTAATAAATCAAAAAATATACTCAACTTATACTTTTGAAAAGTATTAAGAGTATTACATAGTCAAACAGACATTCTATAAGTAAAAATTCTAAAGGGACAAGTAAAAATAATTTTAAATTGCTCTTTTACATATATACATGTTTGAAAATAATAAAAAATTCATAAAAAAATAACAATAAAATTTGATAGTTAAATGGTAAAAAAAAAAATATATTATTAAATCTTATATAATCGATACATATTCTCTAAACTATTTTATAATATTTGTGAAATTAAATATTTTTTTTCATTTTTAATAACAATTAAGCCAAATTTCTTAGAAACATGGCAGAACTCATCCAGTCATTATCAGGAAAACAAAAACTATAATTACTTGCAATAATTTAGTCACCTCTTTTTCAATAAATAAACTTACAATTATTATCCAATAAAATTATATGTATAAACAAGTATTAACTCCAATAATATTATAAAAGTTCATCCAATAGGCTTTTGTTTTAATTATAGAAATTAATTTATTTTGTTTCTCAATATTCAATAAATTAGAAATGATAATAATAGAAAAAAAATCAGTATCACCCAAAATACATATTTTAAATATTTTAAATTAGAAGATAAAGTTTTTAACTCAAACAAAAACATTTATTAATTTGGGTTCAGGATTTTTTTAAAATAAAAAAATTCTTAAAACTTTTATGGATTTTTTTTTATTTTCTAACACTAATTTCAAAATACATATTTTAAATTAGAAGGTAAATGTTTTAACTAAGAAACAAAAGAATTTATTAATTTGGGTTCAAATTTTTTTAAAAATAAAAAAAGTTTCTAAAAACTTTTATGGATTTTTTAAATTTTCTAACACTAATTTGTTGAGTGGAACTTGCGTTCACTCAATACAATCGACTATTTTTTTATTTTTTAGGCGTAGTCTCACTCTCATTTAGTAAATTTAGTTGTTGCTTAGTAGAAATCACAAAATTAACTGAAAATGCCTCATTGAGCCACTACAAGAAATTTTCCAATTAGCTAAGAAAATTTGCTACAAAATTTATTTTTCATTAATTTATAGCTAATTAGCTATAGAATAGTAAAGAAATAAAGTTGTAGCTAATATGTAGTAAAATAGCTAGAAGATAATATTTTTGTAACTATTCCCTCACTTAGTAAAAAAATAATTTAGCTAGGAAAATTTTTTATCACTAATCTCTAGCTATAAATATTAACTATATTATTTTTTAAGCTATTTCTTAGCTAAATTATATAATATACCATCATAGTTAAATTGTAGCAAATTTATAGCAAAAAAATTAATTATAAAATTATTTGAAAATTATTTTTACTAAATTTACTATATATATATATATATATATATATATATATATATATATTATTTTCTGTGTCTGAAATAAATTATTTGAAAATAATTATAATTTTTTTGAAAAAATATCTAAAAAATTGATAAATATTTAAAATTATTTTCTGTAAAGTTTTTATAAATTTAAATTTGTAGGAAGTATTTTGTATAAACTGTAACATAATTTGCATCTCGGTCCTAGAAACATATTTTTCTACATCATATTACTTATTTTATAATTTTCTACTAAATCAAAGTATTATATCCTTATTTAATAATTACTGAATCATAAAAAGAGTAATAAAATTTCACGTAACTTTAAAAAAAAAATTCACGTAACTTTTTACATAACTTATACCTCTTATTTATTAATATTTTTATATTAAATAATAAAAACTTAAAGAGTCCACAAATAAAATCTGTTTTACAAATTAAACAAAGTAGATTAAATAACCCACCATTCAAACAATTATTAAACTCTTAAATTAGCATTATTTTCCCCTGTTGGCAGTGTTTGCACCGTTTCCCCTCGGGGCGTCAAAATTAATAAACTGAAATCATTCTTACTTCCGTATCAAACAAGTATCCTCTTTTTCTCTTCGCAGAATCAAAACCTCACGCCACAGAGCAACAATCATTCAACTCTTCCAATCCTTCGATTCAGAACCTTTTCCCTTTCCTTTAAACTCCAATTTCCTGAGACAAACCGTTGCCATTGTTTTCCATTCAAAATTCAACACCCTTTCACGACGAAGAAAATGGGTTGTTAGGGTTTTCATTCTCTGCTACGACCTCCGTATTGCGGTTCCCTGCCTCTTCCTCTGCGAACCGTGATCACTTCCATTCCGTTTCACACTCTTTGTCTTTGTTCTTCGATTTAGGGTTCATAATTCTTCTTCCGATTTCGAACCGAGTGAATTACAGAAAATGTACGCTGATCTCGTGGAGAATGGAGGGCGGAGGTCCGTGAAGGAGCGCCTTAATGGGAATGGTACTAGTGGTCTTACTCGGCTGCAGTAACAACGTCAAATCACCAGCAAGAGGTTTGCAATTCTTACTCCTTCATGTTTTCATGATATTTTAGGTTAGGTTTTGAATTCGGTTGTGGTTTCGCCATGTAAATTGATATGACGGACAATTGCGGTTGTGGACAAACTGTTGGCCACCATCATTTTTTTTCTTATGATTGTGGTGCATGTGGAGGAAATATAATTTCTGCTTGTTAATTGTACTATTTTTGGAAGAGAGTCTAGGTTGAATTGGTATGGTATCAGTTAGGAAATGTTTGTTGCATACAAGGAATGATGACATTCTTAAAAGAAATACATGACATCCCTAAAATACTCCGATCGGAAATGTTATTTTATAGACAAACTAGGGTGTATGATCATCTTTTGTTATTTTTGTCACCCTGAGTAGTTCTTATAGGTGTTGATCATCCACTTAATTCTGTTAAACTTGTCAGATTCTTTTACAACTATCCCATGATCTAACTCTACGAATATTGTATGAGAATTCTAGGTTTGAGTTCATTTCATGAATGTAAATTACACATATTACAGAGAGCACTCTTTGAATGTTCATCTCCATAGTTATTTTTGTCACAGTTAATAGAGAGGCCACCCAATACCTCCTCTTCCACACTCTTTGATTTTATGCAATTTCTTCAATTGAATTCATGCCTCCATTACTTCTATGTTCTCTTGAGTGTTATCAATTGTTGATTGTGGTAAATGGCAGAAAGTTAATAATTCGCTCTCTGTTTAAGGGAATATTCATGGGGGGTTAAAGGGAATATTCATTTACCATCTTCACTCTCTGTTTAGATTTGATGGGAGATTCTCCTCTTCTTTTAACTTCTTCGTACCTAAAGCATAGAGGGTAGTAATAAAAAATGTCATTTCGTTATTTAAATATTATATGATGGAAAAGAACAAAGATTTTCAGTTTATATTTCTAAAAAATGGGGTAGCATAGCAGCATATATTCCTTGCTCCAGTTAACTGTTAATTTTAACACTTGCACTTGTGAAAGGTGGTGAATCCAAATGCCTCATGCAACTTTGCTCTGCAAAGATAGTTGGATCAGTCCTACCCTACCCTACTCATTTTCTCAAAAGATTTTATTATATAAATTAAGGAAAGAGTTTTCAATTTAATATCACAATCTTTTTAAAAGATAAATTAACTAAATGAACTTGAACTGTTATGTAAAAGAGTAACACTATAATTTGGTTTAACTTAAATTAAGAGAAGCAATAAACAATATTAACATTCAGCTACAAAAAAGCAAAGCCTTCAACCCTTTTGTTTGAACTTGTTCTTTCTTACTACTCTCGGGGTATTGTGGTTGGCATGATCATGGAGTTCAGATCCAAGTCATGCAGAGATGAAAGGCTCCAGATTGAAAGCAACGGTGGAGGCAAGGTGGCCCCAACAAGCATACAAGATCTGAGGTGTCAGAGTGCTAAAAATGCTTCTTCTGGTCGTGCACACCAGATAGGTAGCACTGGTAAGGAGGTGAAGGTGAAGAGAGGGAAAAGGACAGCTGCTAAACCATCAAAAAGTTGGAGCTTCAGTGACCCTGAGTTGCAGAGGAAGAAGAGAGTTGTTGGCTATAAAATATATGCTGCAGAAGGCAAAATGAAAGGCTCTCTAAGAAAGAGTTTCAGGTGGATCAAGAATACATACACTCAAGCTCTCTATGGATGGTGGTGATTCATGTTTTATTCTCTTTTCTTCATGTTTTCTTTTATGTAATGAGAGTTACTTATTTGTTTTTTCTTTTACTCAGTACATTTTTAAATTAAATCCTCCAGCGGTAGTTGTTATATTCTATTTGAACAAGATCATGTTTCTGGTTTAGAAGTTTAACTCATTTTTGTATGAAATTGTATTGTGTTTTGAGTGGCTAGTTTGGTTACTTATGAAATTCTCAATTGTTAGTTCAATTAGATGAATATTTTTGGGTTTGAAGTAGAATATGATTGGTTTATTTGTATTTTTATTTTAATTATAAACGTCAAGAAGAAAAAAAGTGACAGCGTTATGAGAGAATCACTCTGCTTGTGTTCTGTTTCAAGCAGTTATGAGATAAAAAAAAGCAACTATGTATATACAATACTTTTATATTGAAAGTTATAAGTTTGTCTTCTTTTTTAAGAATATGAGTAATAATTTAAATCTTAAATATTTGATATTATAAATTTTGATAAAAATTGTGAGGGATTAACTATGAAATGGCGAGAGAAACATTGCAAAGGATTAGCTACGGATTAACGAAGAAATAATTGCGAGGCATTAACTACATATTAGCTAAAGATAAATTGTCAGGGATTAGCTACAGATTAGCGAAAGAAAAATTACGAGGGATTAGCTACGGATTAGTGAGAGAAAAATTGCGAGAGATTAGCTACGGATTAGCGAGAGAAAAATTGCGAGAGATTAGCTACGGATTAGCGATAATGAAATTGTGAGGGATTAGCTACGGATTAGCGAGAGCAAATTTGCGAAAGATTAGCTATGGATTAGCTACAAGTTTTGGGAGATCAAATTAACTAGAGATAAACAAAATTTCATCATTTAAATTAGCGAGGGATTTAGCGACATTTTAGCGCAAAATTTGCTACAAGTTTGAGAGAGAATACATCTGTATCTAATTAGCTACTTGGATTTAGCTACGGACTATTTCATAGCTATTCCGTAGCTAATCTGTAGCAAAACATACCAGCGAGAGATTAGCTATAAAATAGCTACGGAATGTGTCATAGCTAATATGTAAAATTCTTGTAGTGAGCGAATCCAACTTCTGCATAACGCTCAGAGTAAAAAAAACATAAGTAATTACTATATAAGATTTACTAGACGAGTTAAGTTCTCACCTAACTAACGCATGATAATCTTGAAATTGTTTGATAATATTCGTTAGACAAGTTCAACTCTCACCCAATGGTCGATGAAGAACATGATACTTGAAGTGATTCTACCATAATTTCACTAAGTGAGTTCAATTCCCACTTAATGATTAGTGAAGAATGAACTACTAAATTGAAATTTGTTTATTTTGATTTTTGCTTATTGAGTTCAACTCTCACTTAGTGACTGTCAATATCATAACAAAATCAAAGATTTTTTCATGAAATACAGTGTTGGAATCATAATCAAGGTGTTCAAGGATGTATTCAACAATAAGCTCATCAATGGTATCAATCCTAAACACAAAATGATTTTCACAATGGTATTTCAAGGCATCTAGGATATTAAATTTAACAAATATGTCACCAAACTCCATACTTAGTATACTAGTATAAACAACAATCTTAATGTGTGTTGTTTCCAAGAATGTTCTTCCCAAAATAAGAGGAGAAAAATCAAGATTAAAGTTAGTAGGGTACTAACCTCCCATGTCCATAATGTAGAAATATGGAAAAACTAATTTATCCACTTTCATTAAGACATGTTCAATTAAACTAGTTGGTTGCACGATACTTCTATTTACAAGTTGAGTTACCATACCAGTAGGTTACATAGATCCAAGGCACAATGAAAAGTACATGCCTAAAAGCATAACATTAATAAAGGCTCCTAGATCTAACATTACATTTTCAAACATAGTGTTGCCTATTACACAACAAATTGTAAACACAATCTTTACACTTTTCAAGAATCAATACATTAGATGTAGTAACCAAAGCAAAAACATTTCTCCCTAAATCTATCATTTCTTTTTCCTTGAGATTGTTCTTGTTTGATGCACACTTTTTTCAAAAATTTAGCATGTTTTGACACTTGTTTGATGACTTTAGGGAGGGGATGTTAACTTCAACTTTTTGAAATAAATTTAATAACTCGTTATCCAGCTCCACATATCTCTTCTTCTGTTGCATGAAACCTCTAGATTGATGGAATGGTAGTGGAATCTCATGTGGTGTAAGGTTGTCAACATCAATATCAGTTGAGGATATTGTAGTAGTTATTTAAAAAAAATCTAATTTTATGAAGTCTACTTTTAATTTCTTGATCAAATTCAAATGTTTTATCAATTCAATACCAAAGCAATTTAATCACAAAAATCAAAAGAAGTAAAAAAAATCAAAATATAAATGAAAAAAATGAAAAATAGTAGTTTCTATAACAAATTCACAAAAGGAATATTAATTCGCTAAGCGAGATACTCACTATAAGCAAGAATCCTTAGGCGAAACAACATTATGCTTAGCGAAATATTTTTAAAATATCAAGAACATACATCGTTAAGCAAACAAGTGCTCGCTAAACGAAAAATAATACAAAGGAAAGTGGATCAACGATGAATCAGTTCATTTAATAATAAAAATGCCTTAACCAAACTTGAAATCACCGGAACAAAACTCACTAAGTGAGAACAACTCACTAAGCAAAATACAAGAAAACAAAAACACAAATTATTTGATGAATTTCGCTTTAAGTAGGGCTCGCTCGACAAACAAAACATAAAACAAAAATTGGAAAACTGACTCAAACAAGATTTGTTAAGCGAAAACTTCCTTTCTAAGTGAAACACTCTAAAATTTTAAATTTGAAAGTGTTTCATATGTCTCACTTAGGCAAAAAAGCATTCGTTCAAAAGAAAGAAAAGTTGAGACTAAACAAAACTCACTAAGCGAGAACAACTCGCTAAGCAGACAAAATAAAAATACACATAAATCTTGAAGGCTCGTTGAGCAAAATAGTGATCGTTAATCGAGTCTGAGACAATATTTTTTTAAAGTTTTTTTACTTTTGATATAAAACAAACACACAAAATTAAAAACAAATATGTACATTAAACTTTAACAAAAGAATATCAAGTTCAAAACAACGCAATCATCAATTGTTCTTCAACAAGGGTGCCATTTTGTTAAAAGTGCATCTTGTCGCCTAGATGTTATCAAAGAATTTCCATTTTGTTAAAAGTGCATCTTTTCGCTTAGATATTATCAAAGAATTTTTCAATTAAAGTAATACAGTGTTAGATTTGACCTAAGTCGTGCCTTGAGAAAATTTGGTTAATGTTGCTTAAACATTGATCTTCATTTGGCAAATGATAAGAGATAGGTGGTTTTTTGGATTTTAGGTGCAAGAAATGTAAATGAAGTTAATAACAATAAAATTTATAATCCTATGAAAAACAATAAATTATCTTATGTAAAACAGTAAATCAAAGCTTGTAAATGAAAATATCATAAACATAAACTATTAAAGCATTAAAGGAAAACTATAAACTGCATTGGATGCAAAGGAAAGCATGAAAACTAATCTATTAAAGTTGTAAATGAAAGCAGAAAAGGAAAAGTAATAAATTTATATTCTACAAAGCATTTAAAGTTCTAAAAACTAATGAGAAACTTTATGCACAAAAATTTTGGAAACACATAATTGAAATGGAAATTAAAAGACAAAACATTAAAGAACTATGTAAGGAAACTATAGAAAACTAAGGTTGAATCTCCAACCATCACTCGCTCATATAATTATCTTAGATTTCAAGAACTTGTTTTGCAATCACAATAACAAATTCACAATAGTTTCAATCAATTAAAATCTAATTGAAATAAGAAAACATAACTTAATTTATAAATCAAGCAATCACTCAAATCTAGAAATTAAATTATGGTGTAAATGAGACATTTAATCAAATAGTCTTAATTACATTGACTGTAATGAATTATAATATGTTAGAATTGATAAGAATAAAATCTAAACCATATGAAACACGTTTTGATCAATGAAATATGCACAAAAACAAAGTAATACATAATTAAAGTGAAAAAATACAATAAAATGCAAAAGTAGTAAAGAAAACTCAAGAAAAGTGGATGTAGAAGAAAAACACATCAAGACATTATTCATACAAGAAGCTTAAGAATCGAATTTGGAAGTCAAGCATCACAAAAGAGAGAAAACTAGGTTATAACACTATTGCAAAAAGATGATACAATGACAATTATAAAAGGCATATAACAACAATTTTTCAACCATCGTTGAAAGTTGACAATTGACTATGATTTTGACTTGTCGTTGTAAGTTATCAATAAAATGACTATTATAAATATAAATGTCGTTATATGTCTTTTTTCATAGATGTTTTGTCGCAGTAGATTTTGTTTCGCCGCAACAAATCCAAAAGGTTACATTGTTCTCTTACACGTAGTACATCTCCGCAGTAGATCTTACTCCTTTACAAAATATCAAAAGGTGATGTTGTTGTTTTACACGTAGTACATCTCTAGCTAAATATTTATAACTTGTCCTCCGCCTTTGACTCGTTATCCACATTGTACCCGTCACCATCTCATACTTGTCTTCCACCTCGTACTCGTCTTACATGTTGAAGAAATTTAAGATGGAAAGGGATGTTTTGCAAAAGAAAGAGAAAGAGACAATTGAATGAAAAGAGTTGAAGGAGAGAGGGATAAGATGCGAACTTGTTACATAACTTTAGCTAAATACCACGAACGACTCATTCAGGAGGAGAGTTAAAGGAGAAGAGAAGAAGAAATGAGAGGTTGAACTGCAAAAGAGAAATATAACGAGAGATACGACGACGTTTCTTTTATAATCGTCGTCATATATGACATGCAATGATGGTTATAAAGAAAATGTTGTTAAAAAGTTAAACATACAATAATGTTTCTTTTAATAACCGTCGTTGTATGTCATATGTGATGATAATTATAAAATAATCATTGTCGTATGTCACATATGACAACAGTTATTAGTAGAATAGTCATTCTATGTCACATACAACGACAATTATAAATGAATTATCGTATAAAGTTAAAAATAACTTCAAAAATATCACCGCATCTTTTTTAACAACGGTTCATATATTACCATTGTTAAAATGCATCATCTTTTATTGATTTTGTACTAGTATAAAACTTCAAATCTAAAAAGTGAAACTTATTTACTAAAAATTGAATCTTCAAAAGCCTATTTATACAACAAACATGTTCAATACACGTAAGGTCATTGAATGTTTAAAATTATCAAATTGCATAACATAAATATTGAATAACTTTTCTGTATAATTGAAGTTTTGCAATAAATTTGTTGGACGATTAATTTGCTCAAATGACAAAATTGTCAATTAATATATTTAATGAAAGATGACTTTCTTGCTATGGAAAATATTTTGTCTACTCAATGGCTTATTAAATACGGAAATGAATCTTTTGAAATGAATCTTTTGAAATGATTCACTAATAAAAATTCCTTTATTGAACAAATTTTTTGTAATAAAACTTTATTTTTTAATTTTAATTTATTCATTGATGTGGAAATAGATAAATAATTAATTAAAATATATTTTTTAAATAATAATTTTTCACAATGATATTTACTTTTTATAAAAAAATGTGAAAATTAATAAATATTTCAATAAATATATTAAATATATATATATATAATATACTAATAAAATAAAATGATTGATAAAATTTATTCATAGAAAACTGTCAATTTTCTATATAGTGGTTTTTCCATTTTTTTATGCATGCCACGCCCACAAAACACATGCGGTTCTCGAAACACTTGAAAATTAAGTTAAACGATAAATTATTAACACAAAAGTTAGCGAAAATGAAATCTAACCTCCTTACAAATTAGGGAAAATAAAATGTAATATGGATAACACCGAACGAAAATTAGGTTCTAAAACCCTAATCCCAAAAATTTAGGGGAAAAAAAAGAAAATTTGAAGAGAAAAAATAGAAAATATTAATGTTTGAAAACCATAAAACTCAAAAAACCACAAAAAATATAAGCTAACACGTAAAAGTGAAAGAAATTGAAAAGAAAATGTACTCTAAACCCCAAAGATTAGAAAAAAACTTAACGTAATATGAAAACCATAAAAACCTAAAAATAGGGCAAAAAGTATGTAAACCCAAATTAGAAGAAATTTAACTATTATCGTAAAAGTCAGTGACATATGGATAAATTTCAAACATATTAGCGAAAACAAAACCGTAATCCTAAAATGTTACAATAATAGGAGAAATTATTCAACTTTTTTTCATATGAAAAGGGTTTCTGCCTTTATTAATATATGAACACATCAAATCTGGTGTATATATTAATGTGATCTGGTGGTGCTACAGATTTCAGAAGGCAACTATAATCTTTTTTTGCAAACATTGAAAATTGGAGTTCGGAAAAAAAAAAAAAAAAAAAGCTTGTGTTTAGGAACATGAGGATAGGGTAGGACAAATGAGACAATAAAGGAAAACTTAATGGGGAAAAGCTTGTTTGGAAGTTTTGATATTGAATGTGAGAGAAGAGTGTATGCCTGGGAAGGAGAAAAGTGTGTAGATAAGTAGAGTGTGTGTGGTAGATTTATGTAGTTCTCGCAGATCTTATTGGGAGTTGAGGGGGTGTGACCCCCAAAGTTTTGTAACTCTCATATAATTTATGATTTTGACTTCCCCAAACTTAATGAACATTTAATATATTTATTTGTATATTTACAATTTTATCCTCTCAGCCCCGTGTAACTTTTATATAATTTATGATTTTGTCTCCCTCAAACTTAATGATTATTTAATATATTTAATTATATATTTACAATTTTATCCTTTCACACTTTCATCTTCTTACTTCATTTATATTTATTTATTATTTATTAATAATATATTATTTAGTCCTCCAAGATCAATGTTCAAGATCCATCATCTGATATGATGTAGAAATGTCACACACACACACACATATATATATATATATATATATATATATATATATATATATATATATATATATATATATATATTATTTAGAAAGGTTATCATTTGATAGTAATTATTTTTTATTTTTCTTTGTGGAATTTTTCTATGACAAGGGTAACACTTGTTAGGGTCGAGGCCACGTCCTTCTAAAATGTTGATTATATATATATATATATATATATATATATAAAGTAAATAATAAAAATAATTATTATATTTGATATAATTTTTTATTTATATTTTTTCTCTCTTATCTCTTTTTTTATCATTCTTCCACTGGATGAGTTTAAGAAAAAATTAAAAAAATATATAAATTCATTTTCAAGAAAAAAATATAATAAAATAAAATTTAACTTATCAAATTTAAATTCAACAACAAATATTGAAAATATTGTTGAACAACTTATTTTATATAATAACTGATTATTTTTATAATATAAAATATCCTGAAACAAAATAAAAATATATTTAATTTTATATATATTTAGTTTATATTCATACTAAGTATAAGTGAATAATTTTATATAATATATATGTTTTCATATCATAATTAATTTTAATGAATATACATCTATTTTTATCTAAAATTTATGTTAATATTAATTAGATATTAAGTTATAAAATAAATTTATCTTTTTAACTATATGAATAAGATTCGTATGAAACGTCACTTATATATATATATATATATATATATATATATATATATATATATATATATATATATATATATATATATATATATATATATATATAACATATATTAAATTTTGAAAATATGTTATGTTAATAAATATTGTAATTAAATATATTATAAATAAAATTGACGGTGTATAACATTTAATACGATATTTAATAATAAATATAATTTGCACTCAAATTTATTAACATAGAAATTATAAATGAATTATATATTACTGGTCTTCCAAATATTACTTTAGTGTCATCAAAACTAGAATCACATGCATTTTCATAATTTTAAGAAACATAAACTTTTTATTGAAATTAAATAAAACATACCATTCTTCCAAACTAAAAAATATAACTAAACAACAAAATTCTTCTTTAACTATCAGTAAGAGCTGGAAAAGGAGAGTGAAATACACTCTCAGTCATACGTAAATACTTCTTTAACTTCACTCATTCAACATGTTTGTTTACAGTAGATTGAAGATAAGAAGAAACACTTATTTAACCTATATATGAACTTTCCGGATACAAACACTCATAAATATAAGTGACACAAAACATATATGTATGTATATTAAATTAAGCAACACTGAAGGATCCAAAGCACCCAAAAATCTTCCACTAAGAGTATTAACTTTAAGACTTCATTTGTTATTCTTAGGTGGATGGTGCACTGGTCGATAATAATCAGCAGTAAAAGTCAAGGGACCCCCATTAACCTTATAAGACAAACGTTTTCTAGCATTTCTTTTGGCTTCAGCAGTGGAGGACTTGACCTTCCCAGATTTACTCATACTTGCTTTGCTCAAGTTCCCTTCAGTAATTGCTGCCAGGCTTTTCACTGTAGTACTTTTTGTAACCCTAGTTGCAACACTTGCCTGTTCGATTCCAGATATGACAGAAGATAAAGCTTTTATTTATTCTTTGAAATTAAAATTTATCCTTTATAAAATCAACTCTGATGTGAACATGGTTTAAATTGCATCCATAGTATCAAGATTTTTCTTACTCACTGCAGTTCAACTGCATCAGCCACATTTTATATAATTGCCCCTGATGTTAAGGATCGCAACAAAATTATAGTCACAACTGTAATTGTAATCTAAATCCATGCATGGTCTTCATTCCTGATAACATAAGTGAGGGTTTGATTTTGAAAATAACAAGAAGTGAAAAGTAAATTCATCAATTTGGAATTAGTTTATCTATAAAAAAATTTATAAAAATTCCCTTACATTAAATTCTTTTAAAAATAACTTTTTAACTTATGTATTAACTAATTTAGTTTATAATTTGTTTCTTTATATTTTCTTATTCTTTGTAGGTATTTCTGAAAAGATTACCAGAATAAATACGTAAACAATTATTTAAAAAAAAATTTACAATTCATAAAACTATCAACCGTCCTCAATATATCATGACATATTTAAAATGTACATTCAAATTACCTTAATATCTGGGATTTCATTAACTGCAGCACCTGCATTTTTCACCTTTTGTGGTTAATATATTTCTGCCTATAATGTTAATTTGATCATGCCTAGGAAGTAATTAAAGGTTTCTTTGTTCTCAATAAGTATTTTAAGAGAGAAAAATATAAAAGAAAAAAATGAAATTGACTTAAATTAGTTTATAAACAAGTTAAAAATAAACATTTAAAAAAATACATGAAAGAATTTCTACAAAATTAGTTCGTACATAAATTAATTTTAATTATAAAAAAAGTCAATTTCATTTTTCTTTCTAAAAAAAATTCATCTGTTATTATAATGAAAGAAATACCTTTAGGGTTGAACCGTGCAGTGGAGAGCCAAGCAGAACAAAGAAACAAAAGCACAACCCAAGCAGCAGTGTCCTTGAATAGCACCATCACTATCTCTGATAACTTGTACCAGCACTCTTATTCCTTTCTGAAGGTAAAGTCTGATCAAATTTCGTAAAAGAGAAATCAGTTCAAAAGGGTAAGTTATGATTTATATAGCAAGTGATTTGATGAGAAAAACCCAAGTCAAAACTAACCAACAATGATGCAATGAATTAAATCCATGTGATCAAATATAAAGTATTCATATACCTAAAATCCAAGGGTAACTTTTAGAAGCAATCGTTCCAACAACTATAGTCCTTCTTGAACGTTCAAATGTAATATATACTATTTCAAATGCTTGGGAACTAAAACTATTTCTCAATCCCGATAATTACACCTTTAATGAATCCCCATTCATAATATGGGTAAATATATTTTATTTAGTCTTTAAAATTAATGGAAAAGTTTTTTGAGTGCCCAATAGAAAAACAAATAGCATATTTATAAAAATGGAAAACACATTTAATTATTCATAATAATATTCGAAGATATGAGTACAAAAATTATGTAAAGAAGGTTTGAGAAATTCTATGTGAATCTGTGGTCCAAAGAATGTATGGAACAGCGCCATTAGAGATTCAGAGAGGTTCAAACACCACGTAGTGCCACCATTCTTGGGATAAGAGAGAGTTCGCAGAGGGTTGACAACAAAAGATAGTGTTACTCGTGATAACGTGGAATTGAAGCTTCGTGTGTTTTGCGTTTGTCTACCACCACGCAATCAACGAGAAAAAGCTATGTGCTTTAATTTGCCGAGGTAGGTATACTGCGTAAAACAATGTGAACCTCAAATATTAAAATCATTGGGGTCCCATATAAAGAACATGACCATTTTGCAGTCCAAGGTTTACAACTTTTGTGGCACAAAACAAGTTACAGATTGTACTGTAACTTCCAAACATTAAGTTTAAGCATAGATCTATAAAACCAAATGTAATTGTGTTGGTGCAACATGATTGTACTTAACTTCCAAGCGGTGTCCTTTAAAACTGTAGTAGCCGTCTCATGTGGACCGAAGTAAGGGATTAGCATAGGAACTTTACGATTAGAGATGGATAAACCTGGTATTTAAGGGTTCAGCCATTGATTGATTGTATATCCAAGATTTAATAACATCATGATCTCTATTAAACATTGAATATCAATTCATAATAATTTTTTTAAAAGAAAAATATGAAAGTTATTATTATAAGTAAGATACAATAACATTACAAATATAATGTAAAATGTAAAATATGATAAAAAGGAAAAAACGTTTTTAAAGTTAATATAATTAATGAGATAAAAATATAAAAAAAATTCTATAATATTTTAAAAAAAATTGTATAAAAAAATTATCTTTAATTATTTTTTACCAAACTTAGTTTAATCTAAAATGTAATTGTTTTTTCGGTTTTATCCATTTTATACCAATTTTTTAAATTTTATATTAATTTAACTAAAATTCAACTATTTAAAAGAAACATACTAATTTTCGTATTAAAATTAGTTAAACTTATCAATCTGATCGAATTTTTAAAATAGTAATTATATAAAATTTAAAGACCATGATATCTTAATATAAACTTAACATTATCTTCATATGAACATATCACTATAAGTGATTGAGAATAGGTGAAAATTAACTAAATATACCTCAAACATCCAACTCTAAGATCATTAAATCCTCTGGAAGAAAGTCTAAAAATCTTATCTAGCACATTTTTTTTCCAAAAAATACATAATAGTTGTGTTTGATGCAACACGAAAACAAAGTTTCTTCTTTGAAAAAGAGTTAGTCCAAACCCTCAAAGTCTCAACAAACTTAAAAATATATTTTTGCTTTATTTCATACTTATTCTCACGGAAGCTTATGTAACGACCCTAAAAATCGTTACTATAATGATGTCTTCGCAAAGTAGTAAATAAGTAAATAATAACATTTATTTTACATTATATTATTGTAATTGTAACATAGATTAAAATTTCGGTTCACTAACTTCAAAATATAGTAACAATTTATTTATATATTATACATGTAAAAGTGGCTCCCTCGAAGCTATCCCACTGAACTATCCCTACCGTCCAAGTAGTCACATCTCCATCTCTCAACTCCTGATCTGCTCCCACATAAAAGTGATCATCGTAGTCCCATCCACATAGAAAAATAGGGGTAAGTATTAAATCATTCGATATAATAAAACAGATATAGAAGTAATAATTATATATTATGATCAATTACGAAATTATCAACACACTAATACACCTTCCGGAAGTATACCCTAACTATGCCCGAACTCAGAGGTTATCATCTGTGGGCACATTGTGATCGGTACCCGCAGTACCATTCTGACCACCCTCCACACAGAGTAGGATTATTGGTGCCCTTCATCACACATACTAGAGTACCCCTCCGAGCGCGCCACCAGTCATCCCCCATCAACTTCTCACCACCTGATCTCGTAGTCTACCTGACCCGACCAATCAGTGAAGTATGAGACCTCATTCAGAATCCTCCGACATAGTTATTACACTAATGTACTCTGTACCACCCCGGGTACCATTCAAACATAACAAAACTTATTCACATTTGCCAGATTCTGGACCACCTGTCCTCACGGCTCATTCGGGTCAATAAAAATAGTATTTTACAGATTCTGACACCAACCCTCCGGCTCAGTCTAGCCAATATATAACTTCTCAGGACTGATTCTGGGCATCAGCCCTTAGGCTCAGTCTGACCCACACACGTCACACCACACTACTTTCATTCTCTCTCTCTCTTTATATATATATTTTTCTAAAATCATTTTCGAAATCATTTCCGAAACTATTTTCAAAATCATTTCCGAAATCATTAAATTACTATTTTGCCCTTAATCTTTTCTTAAAATTCCATGTATGTCCCTAAATGACTATTTTACCCTTGGATATTTTTGAAAATTTCTTCCATGTCCCAAAAATGACTATTTTGCCCTTGGACATTTTCAAAAATTCCTTCCATGTCCCAAAAATGACTATTTTACCCTTGAACAATTTCAAAAATTCCATTTATGTCCCTAGGATGTAAAATGACTATTTTGCCCTTGAATATTTTTGAAAATTACATTTATGTCCCTAGGATGTAAAATGACTATTTTACCCTTGATCTTTTTAAAAAATCCCCACCATATCCCTTTCTTCTTCCTTCGCCCAGTAACAGTATCAAATTTTGGAGATTTTGACAGATTTCAAATTACTCAGTTTTAGACAACCAACTAGTCCCAAATCGAAATTAAACATGAATTATATCTAATTTAAGTTGAAAACAACAATTTTACCATATAATTCACCCTTAATTTTAAGAATTTCAAAAACTTTCAAACGGTGAACAGTTCATCAGAATCAGAAATTCTTCAAAAGACATTCAAATAATTCATATCTCTACTCCTATTCCTTATTCACAAAGTACCAAACAATTCAATTTCATATATTGAATGAATTAAACTTCCCCTTACCTGGTGTGGTATTTCTACTGAAGCTTTCCCACTTAATTCAAACTCTCTCCCGTTTCACCAGATCCTGCATGAGTAGATTCTCATTACTTGAAATTTAGACACTAGAAGAAGAAGAATGAGGAACATATGATATGGGAGGAAGAATTTCCCGCAGAAACCATTCCTCCCCCCTTCGAACATATAAAAGAAAAAATTTTACTGTGCATGAGGAAAACTTCGTTACGAAGTTTTCTTGCACAGTAAAAAGCATACGTCACAATCTCCCCTCCACATAAATTTTCGTCATAGAAAATGAACTTACTTGGAAATAGATATGGATAGGACTCTCGCATCTGATCCTTCATCTCCCAAGTGAAGTCTCCGGATTTATGATCCCATACTACCTTCACCATTGAGATGGTTCTACCTCTAAGTCGCTTTAGCTGAGAATCCTTTATCCTCACTGGTCTCACATCCACGGAGAGATCGTCTCTAATATGCAAATCGTCTGACTGCAGGACATGACTGGGGTCATGCACATATTTCCTCACCTGAGATACATGAAATACATTGTGCAGATTTGTCAAATGAGGTGGCAACGCTAACTGATATGCCACTGGACCTACCTTCTTCAAAATCTGATATGGGTCAATAAACTTGGGAGTCAACTTCTTAGATTTAATTGTCCTTCCTACTCCAGTAGTAGGTCTGATTCTCAAAAATACATGGTCTCCCCCCTCAAATTCCAAAGGCCTCCTCCTCTGGTCCGCATATGATTTTTGTTTACTCATAGCGGCTCTCAGCTTCTCTTGTACTTCCCGGACCTTCTCTGTAGTATGCTGGAGTAGCTCAAGTCCGATCAACACTTTCTCCTCATCCTGATACCAACATAAAGGTGTTTGACACCTCCTCCCATAAAGAGCTTTATATGGTGTCATTCCAATACTGACATGATAGTTGTTATTATACGTGAACTCTATTAATAGAAGGATATCATCCCAACTTCCTAGATTATCCAACACACAAGACCTCAACAAGTCTTTTAGTGACTGGATGGTCCTCTCTAACTGTCCATCTGTCTGGGGGCGATAGGCTGAACTCAACCTAAGTCGGGTACCTAATGCCTCTTGTAAAGTCTGCCAGAATCTTGAAGTAAATCTAGGATCCCTATCTGAGATAATGCTAGATGGTACCCCATGTAATCGAACAATCTCGCGAATATATAGTTGTGCCAGTTTAGCCAAAGATATCCTCATATTTATAGGGAGGAAATGTGCACTCTTCGTCAATCTGTCCACTATCACCCAGATCGAATCGTGCCCCCGAATTGTCCGTGGTAAATGGGTAACAAAATCCATGGTAATGTTATCTCACTTCCACTCAGGTATCTCCATTTGTTGTAGCATTCCTCCTGGTCTCTGGTGTTCCACCTTTGTTTTCTGACAAGTCAAACAAGCAGTCACATACTCTGCAATATCTCTCCTCATACCAGACCACCAATAAACCTTCTTCAGATCCTGATACATCTTAGTCATACCAGGGTGTAGA